TGAGCCGCCAACCCCCCACACCACTCCGCCGGGAAAAAAAGAAAAGTTTTTTTAAAAAAAAAAAAAAAAAAAAAAAAAAAAAAGATATGGTAAGATATGTGCACTCCTGTGTTCACAGCAGCATTATTTACAACAGCCAAAAGGTGGAAGTGACCCAAGTGTCCATCAAAGGATGAAAACATAAAGTGTGGTATGTGCATACAAGGGAATACTATGCAGCTGTCAAAAAGGAGATTCTGACGCATGCTATGACACGGATGAGCTTTATGCCAAGAGTAATGACCAAAGGACAAATCCTGTGCGATTCCACTTATGCAAGGTACCTGGAGTAGTCAGATTTACAGAGACAAAGTGGAATGGTGGTTGCCAGGGGCTCAGGGGAAGGGGGAATAGAGAGTTAGACTCAGCTGAAGGAGGCAGAAAAGTTCTGAAGTTGGATGGTGGTGGTGGCGGCACAAGGTGAATGTACTTAATGCCACTGAACTGGACATTTACAAACGCTCAAGATGGTAAACTGTATGTGCACTTGACCGCAATTAAAACAATGCTATTAGTGGGTGGTTGGGAGCAAGTTCTAAGTAAGTGAAGAAAAGCCACAGAAGCGAAACGTTCCTTAAGTCCCAGGCAGCCAACGGCGGGAGCGGAGCATGGCGCCGGGGGTGCACGCGCTCACCCTGTGGCGCAGGAGCAGCTGTCCACAGGGGCTGCCGTGGGGACTCTGTGCACAGCACTCCCATAGCGCACTTTAGCTGTCACTCAGCTAGACTCCTTGCTTCTGATGTTGACACATCGCAATGAGGTCTGGGCATAAAACGACTTTTTTAAAACTTTTTTTTTTTGGTGGCATAAACAAATCATTTCACCCCAGCCACCCTGGCTTCAGGAGCCCACTTACGACACTTGAATGACACTGTACAACTAAGTGCCACGGTAAAATCACATTGACTCCAAATCCAGTAATTTGGGAAAGGAACTGTAGTTCTGTAAAACAATTTATATTCTTTTTTTTTTTTTTTTGACACGAAATTTTGCTCTTGTTGCCCAGGCTGAAGTGCAATGGTGTGATCTTGGCTCACCATAACCTCCGTTTCCCGGGTTCAAGTGATTCTCCTGCCTCAGCCTCCCAGGTAGCTGGGATTACAGGCACGCGCCACCACACCCAGCTAAGTTTTTGTATTTTTAGTAGAGAGGAGGTTTCTCCATGTTGGTCAGGCCGGTCTTGAACACCTGACCTCAGGTGATCCGCCCACCTTGGCCTTCCAAAGTGCTGGGATTACAAGTGTGAACCACGGCACCTGGCCAACAACTTACATTCCAATTACACTGTAAGCTCTATTTTTTTTTCCACTGGTGACCCCTAAAAATTTTAATAGCAACATTTATTAGCCAAGTTTGAATTAACTGCTTTTCTTAAAAGTCATGATACTGTAATTCTTTTTTTTTACCTACCTCGGCCTCTCAAAGTGCCGGGATGACAGGCATGAGCCACCGCGCCTGGCTGAAACTAATTCTTTACGAAGCCACAGTTAACACGTGTGTCATTCAGGGCACCTCTTCTCCCGTTCCCCTGCAGGAGCCAGAACGGACCTGCTTCCTTTCCTGCCTGGCACTCACTCAGTTCCTCTGCACATGCTTCAAGTTACATCATCCTACTGAACGCTTCAGGCAGCTCGGTGACCGTACGAGATCTTGTATTCTTACTGCCATTGTAACAAGTTACCCCCAACTTAATAGCTCAAAACAACACAGATGCATTATCTTACACTTCTGGAGGTCAGAAGTCTGGCACAAGTCTTTCAAATCTAAAACCAGGGTGCCGGGAGACTCCGGGGAAGAATCTGTTTCCTGCCTTTTCTAGCCCTGCGCTGCCCCATTCCTTGGCTTGGGACCTTTTCCTGCCTCCTCAAGGCCAGCAGTGGCGGGGGGGCACTTCTCACACTGTGTCACTCTGACCTTCTCTTCTGCCCCATCTCCTACTTGGAAGGACCCTTGTGATGACCCCAGACCTACCCAGATAATCCAGAAGAATCTGCTTTAAGATTACCAACCCGATAATCAGCTGGCCTTAAAGTTTGCAGATAAAAGGATTGTCGATAAAAGCATCACGAACTGGGTAGCCTAAAACAACGGTAATCTGTTCTCTCACAGTCCTAGAGGCCAGAAGTCCAAAACCACGGTGTCAGCATGGCTGGTCCTCCCAAGGTCTCTGAGGAATAATGTATCCCGGGTCTCTTTCCTAGGTTCTGGCGGCGGCCAGCAAGCTTTGGTGCTCCCTGGCGAGCAGAAGCATCACTCCAGCCCCGCCTGCATCTTCCCACAGTCCTCTCTGTGTGGCTGTCCTTACGTGACCCTCCTCTTATAAAGGACACCTGTCGTAATGGATCAGGGCCCCACCCTACTTCCGAATGATAACATTTTACCTAATTACATCTGCTGTGACCGTACTTCCAAATAAGGTCACATTCTGAGATGCTGGAGATTAGGACTTCGATAAAGACATTTTGAAGAGGACGCAATTCAATCCATACTACAACGTTAACACCATCTGCAACCTTACCTCCCCTTGGCCACGCAGATCACATCTTCCCAGGTTCCGGATTAGAATGTGGACATCTGTGGGGGCCATTATTCTGCCAACCACACACTGCGTTCACAATTCTGAAAAAACTCAGCTCCTATTTAAAATTCAATTTCTATTTACATCTTGATTTGGCTGAGATTTAAACTAGGTAAAGGCCTTGTGAAGTTCGCTGAGATGGGACGGTTGTTGCAAAGAAACAATGGCATCATCAGGGTCACACATTTTATGTTGAAGAGAGTGAGTCTCAAATGCAGGGAGACAAAGGAGGACCCTGGTAGGTCGTTACTTTCAACAGCTTTAAATCATAAAAAACCAGCATGTGATGCTGTATATCTGGGCTAACATAATCCAACATAATCTGGGCTAACAAGTGGTTTGTTCAGGGGTCCAGCGTCAGTTTTGTCCCTCCCCAAAATGGGCGAAAAGAAAGGCTCTGGTATGGACAGAGTGTCTAATCTGTGCCAATTTCTGTGCTAGGAATGTTCCCTGAATTCACTCAGCTAATCAAAGCAAGGAAGCAGGTGCCTGTATGTGATTTCTCTGAGCATCCGTTAGAGGCGGGCCAATTCCAGGTGGGGCATCAAGCAAGTCACACATACAACATCGCCGCATAAAAAGAAGGGTGGGGAACGGCCCTGGAGCTCCAGGAAATGCAGGCCAGGCCAAAGGCAGCAGCCACCGGCACGGTCAACCTGCTCAGCCTCAGCTTGTTTGGTCGCAGAAACCTGAGTGTCAACCTCAGGCTGGGACATTTGACTCAGCGTTCCCGCCTTCACAAAGCTCAGGGAAGTGTGTGGTCTTCAGGGGAGGGGAAAACATAAAAACAGACAATTTCTTTTTTTTTGTTTTTTGAGATGGAGTCTTGCTCTGTGGCCAGGCTGGAGAACAGTGGCATGATCTCGGCTCACTGCAACCTCTGCCTCCTGGGTTCAAGCAATTCTCCTGCCTTAGCCTCCCTGGTGGAAGACCCTTAAAGAGTGGAGATGACGGGGCTCTTGGTATGTGCGGTCAAAGAGAGAAAGAAGGCAAGAAAGGTCAGGCGCAGCACTCTGGGCCCAGGAATGTTGGTGGTGCCTGCCCTTCGAGGGGAAGAGCTGGCATGGATTGGAAGGGTGAGCGCTGCTTTAGAGGCCGGGTTGACGGGACACTGGGCGCAGTGTCAGGCAGGTCGGCAGGTGCAGTCTGCTGCTCGGGGTGCGGTCAGTTGGAGACACAGGGCTGAAGTCATGAGCAAGAAGGTCATGGGGGAATCCAAGGGTCAGAAGGACGCATGCAGACAGCACAGACACAGAGAAAACAGGCTGGAGGGCAGGGCCCGGGGTGTTCTAGCACCTGGGGGAGTGAAAGCCTCTGAAAGGGGTGCAGAGGCCGTGGCTGCGAGGCGGGGGCCGCTGGGAAGGGACTGCACCTGTGGTGAGTACCGGGGCCTGAAA